TTTTTAAGTTGGTAAATGCATATATTTTTATTATTTTTAATATTTGTTTATTGTAATTTTAATTTTAATTTAATTGAAGAATATTAAGAATTAAATTACTAAGAATTAAATTATTTTATATATGGTAAATTCTCCATTCTCCATTCTCTATAAATACATATATACAATTTGTATCAATTGTCAGATTGAATTCAACAACTGATTGAGTGAACGTAAAAAAAAATTTTTTTAGTAGTAAAAGTTTTCTTAGAGAATTTTGACATCATGGATCTGCCGAACGAGCACATTTTGGATGTATTCTTTCCACAGACAGCTGGCGATGCAGCCATTCCGGAACACCTAAACGTGCCACGCAACAGAATCGGAACACCCGAATTAAATATATTGCAACAGATGGCCTTAACACGCGAGCTCCGACTACATAACGCGATGCTTGGCGCCGGCGATGGACTCCACAACAATCAAATCCGTTGGGACGAGAATCTGCCACCGTTTATAGTGGTGCGCAGTAGTCCCGGGTCTAAATTCTGGCATTTCATGCCCGTGTTCATACTGATGTCCAGTTGGTTATTCAAACTCACATTGGGCATGATCGGCATCGATACACAGAGCGCGGGCCTATTGGGGGTATCGTATAATGTACACTTCAATATCCTACAATGGCTAATACTGTTCGCCTCCTATTGGTACAAGGGATTCAGTGCATAAAGTTATGTATGTAAGACGTGGGCTACTTGAAATCAAAAGAGAAAAGAAATCACTAACACTAACACTCACAATCGTACTCAAATTCATGTTTTTATGTAAAATATTGTCAAATCTGCAGTATTCCTTAAATATACGTGTGACGGACGCCATTTCAAAAAGATTTAATAATGTTTTTTAAGTCTATTTATTATTTTTTTAAGCAAAAAATTCTTAAATGTGAAAAAATTTCCATATAAACATAATTAACATTATATAAAAATTAAAAGTCACTAGTGAAAATATTTGATAGAGCTGCATAATACCCAAAAATATTCAATTATATTAAGCCATAAAAAAAAAATTAAAAAATTTAATTTTAGATTTTTTATATTGTAAAATATAAAAGTATAAGCTAAATTTTAAATTATTTATTTAATTTGATATTTTACAATAAATTTGTAAAATTATTTATTTGTATTTATTTATTTAATTGTTACAAAGAATTAACTCTAAGTATAAAAAAAGATGCATTGTGTAAGCTAAATAACAATTTTTCCCCTATATACTCTCCCTACTAACTACTTTCTCTCAATCATATACTTTGGATTCTCTTTTAATATTCCCAATTTTCGCCTTCAATTTATTCCCTTGTTGCTTTAAGCTGCCCCCATTTCCTAAACTCGAAACTGTTATAGCTGATAATGCAGCAACTGACACCACAAATGAGCACAGCTCAAACTTAGCACCACTGCAGTGTTGATGCTGCTGCTTCATCTTCTTTTCCTCTCTCTCTATCTCTCTCTCCACATGAACATATCTTTTCCGGTTCGACTGTAGCCCGAAAAAAAAATCTGCGTCGCTTTTCAACGGCTGAGCCGACTTAAGTCCTTTGATTATTTTGGCGCTCTTTGGTCTGCACAGCTTTTTGCATTTGTTAAGGGGAGGAAGTTGAGGTTGCAGTAAGTCCTTGTTCCTAACTATATATATGTATATATGCCGCTTGCTGCTGCTGTTGTTGTTGTTGTTCTAATGCTGCTAATGTCTCGCACTCGAAAAAAGATTTGGCGCTGAGCGCTTTAGCTAGCTGGAAACACTCTATGGCCGTTGTCCTGGCCAGGCTCGTCCTTTGCTTTTATATTAAGTTCACCACGGGAGACTTTAATCTGTGGCTATGAGAGCTGCTGCTTCTGCTGCTGCTGCTCGGCTCGCCTCGACTCGACTCGATGCAAAACAATGAACGAATTCATGGCATATGTGTCCTGCGAGTCCTTCCTGTGTGTCTGTGTGTGGCTGTGTGCATGTATGAGTGTGGAAAAATTATTTAATATTACCCATCTAAAGGCGATGAGGCGTTGTTTGTCCTAATCCTTGTGCGAGCATTAGACATGGAATTTAATTTAGTTCAGCTGAGCCAGCCAGACTTTCTTCTTCTTGCCACTTTTTTTTTTCTTTTCTTCCCATCTGCCTTAGATGTGTGCCAAATGGCCCCATGCTGTTGCAAAAATCTGTCAAACTTGCCTAGCGCTTTTTAATTCAAATGAAAGCCATACAAGGGAAAATCAACCCAACCCAACCCACACCAACCCAATCCAGCCGGCGAGCAAATGAGAATTCCATGCCTCCTCTCAAATGTTTACCGGGCTTCGGCTGCACTGCAGATAATCCAACTTTGATTAAGTCATCTCTCAATGTTGGAGGCTGTAATGAAGTTTTTTCGGGTGTTCAAATCCGTTGCTCAGCCGTTTACTTCCATGTGAGTGCGACTGTGTGTGGGAGGGCGTGGCCGTGGGCGTTACTTTCATGCAAAATCCCTAGAGTCACCCTGTCGCGTGCCTGAGACAATAGCTGGTAAAATCTTTTCATTTTTTTCTCAATTCCTACCTTTTGGGCTTCCTGCTGCTGTTGTTTATTATTACCTATATATATATTTTTTTTTGTATTTTTGGGTTTTTACTTGCCACAGCAATTATAATAATTACGAGCTAAACGCTGATTCATGTGGTGTTTTATTTAATTGATTGGCATTTTTAGCAGCAATGAGTAAATGACTCCTTCTTAAGCGTCATCTGTTAAAATTTTTTCAAAAGTGCTTCAAAAAGGGGTTAAGTGTACAAAGTTCTTTTAGTTGAGTTTTTACAATAATCAAAAAGGAAATAAGACAATATTTCTGAAATGAATTTATTAGTGGGATACAAAGTCAATAAGAAGCTCTATTACCCACATACATATACTTCTTCTTAGTATTTCCTCTATGTATTTCCTTTTAGTATTTCCTTAAAGTATTTCGTCTAAGTATTTCGTCTAAGTAATTCCTCTAAGTATTTCCTCTAAGTATTCCCTCTAAGTACTTCCTCTAAGGCTTTTATTGATTAGATGAATGATCACAGTCTTAACTTCACTTTACTGTACTGCACGAGTCACCTCACCAGGCCTGGGCGACTGAAGAAATGCTGCCGTTGCTGCCCTTTATATAGGGCATACACGAACACGCTCTCAAATGTTGAGCCCGGCCCGAGGTAGGCGTCGTTGCAGTCGAGCTGTAAATGAGCAATGGGAACACTCTCTGCTGCTTGAAGAATTCTAGCTTCGTTTTCTCAAATATAGACAACTTAAACGATCTTCTGTAGATGATGAGAGAGAGGGACTGTGAAGTAGGCTAAGCAGGCAACACTGAATTATATACCATTCGCAATGCGAATACACAGTCTAACTCTCTCTCTCTCTTTCCCTCTTTTATATCTACATATGAATGCGAATATAGTGATGTGTTGAAGCTCAATGGAGCACGAATTGCATACGCTCTGAATGTGTGAAATATATACATATATAAAATTAAATAATATTTAAAATAAAATAACTAAAAATAGAGTACGTTTGCTTAACACAAATATTTCACTGAATAATAATATTGATTATATCTAATATATATTCAATCAACATTTACTTAATGTATATTCGTGCTTAATCGTGTCACGCGTGCCCCATTCATATGCCTCACAATTTTCTGCCTCAGGTGGCAACGCCGTTGCAACTATTTACAATTGACATTAGCTTTCAATTGGAAGATGCAAACAACACGCAAATATGGTGGTTATCCGTGGCGACAATCGAGCTACAATTACGGCGACGGCATTATTGGACTTCACGAGGAAATCGAGCACTTCTACAGATACATACTGCCCACACCAACGGAGCATGCAGCGCGAATCGAGCTGCTCAGCCGGGTTGAGCGAGTGATTCAAGGCCTTTGGCCGGAGGCTTTGGTTGAGATCTTTGGCTCGTTTCGCCTTGGCATCAATTTGCCCAACTCAGACATAGATCTGGTGGTGCTGGGTGAGGAGTGGCATTCACATTGCATATGAATCGACTAACCATAATCATTCTCCCAGGTCGCTGGGAGCATCTGCCGCTGCGCAGCCTCGAATCGGAGCTACGCAGCAGCGGCATCGTGTTGCCCGGAACACTGCAAGTGGTGGACACTGCTGCAGTGCCGATCATCAGGTTTACGGATTGCGAAACACATCTCAAAATTGATATCTCGGTCAATATGCCAAATGGCATTGAATCCTCGGAGCTGGTCAAAAAGTTTTTGCACGAGCATCCGGTATTGGGCAAACTGGTGCTGGTGCTCAAACAGTTTCTGGAGCAGCGCAATTTGATTAGCACTTTGAATGGAGGCATCTCCTCCTATAACCTGATTATCATGTGCATTAACTTCCTGCAAATGCATCCGCGTCAACATTACCCGGAGTCTACGAATCTGGGCGTTCTTCTGCTCGAATTCTTCGAGCTCTATGGCCTGAGCTTTAATTACGCTCAAATTGGAATTTCCATATGGCAAGGCTATGTGCGCAAAGAGAACGTATTAGTGGGCTCTAGGACTCCCTCGCTCTACATTGACGATCCACTGCTGCCGGGACGGCAGAACTCACGCAGCTTCATTGCAACTTGTCACATCAAACAGGTCTTCCAGTGGGCCTATCGTGTGCTCAGCGAGGCATTATTTGCACAGGTTAGAGAATGTGACTCGCATCATAGGGCTGGTTTCTCAATATTAGGTAAGTGGGCTTACAATACCCTGTGTTATGCAGAGCGCATAGGAGAGAAGGAGAAAGAGAGAGAGAGAGCTCCCCCAATATCTACAACTTAATCTAATACTGCCTGACTACAGGGTATCGCCAGCCATGTTATTCTCACCTTCGTCTCACTTTTTAGGTTCCATTATTCATATAACAGATGAGCGGATCGACTATAGAGCCTGGTTGCGCAAAAAGTTTCACCACTTGGTTGTCTTGGAGCCAAAGGAATAAAATCTAATGCTCTAAAGCTGCTAATTGATTAGATCTAGTTATAGAGAAAAAAATATAATACAAATAAATTTGTTAAAGACAAAACTGTAATTAAATAAAAGTTATTACCAATATTTGAAAAAAACAAAAAATTTTTTTTGACTATTATAAAATATATTTTTACTTATTTCTAATTACCAAATTTTGTAAGTGTCTAAATAATATTGTTTTTGATTTTACAGAATATTTAAAAAATGTATAAGATATATAAAAATTGCAATAAATTACATGCAAACCTCAATCAAACATTTTAAAATTTACAATCGAACGCGTTTAAAGCCTAGTCTATCGCAAGGGTTGTCTTTAGTTTAAGCCAAGCCATATCCGAAATAAATACCAGCAAAAAAAAAAATGACACAGGCTTACACAAAAAGTTCAAATGCGCACAAATCGCGCCACAATTTATTTGGCCTAAAACAATGGGCAAATGCAAAACTAAGCGGCTAAACAAATAGCAGCACCAGCAACAGCAGCAGTAGCAGCAATGGGCATAAATCCTTTCACTAAAACGCGCACTCGACAACACTGGAAAAAAAAAACTATATAGAATATGAGGGAAAAAAGAGAGTAAAGAAAAGGCCAACAGCAATGGGCAAAGTGCGCTTTTTGGCACTTCAAATACCGCAGTCGATGGGCGAACGTAGAGCAGCTTATAGACAATTCAAATCAACATGCCCTCCCCCACCCGTCCCACACGCCTAAGGGGTATGCATGGGTTTGTCATGTAATTTTAATCAAAAACGGCGCAACGGCAACATGCAACGGATTATCCGGCAGCTAAACAACACCCCTAGCGTAGCCTTAGAGTAGAGCCGAGTGCAATAGCGTAAGAGAGAAAGAGGGGGGGAGAGAGAGAGAGAGATGGAAAGAGAGACTAAATCGAACCCCAAACCAAAATTGTTAACCAAGCCATGTTTCCCTTGCGCTGACTGAATGAGAAGCGATTCGTGTTGACAATTGCCATGCAGCCAACCATATAACAATTAAATGCGCACTGAGGCTCAGCCTACTTAGGTGCCATATACAAGCTATATACATACACTGAGCGAAACAAATAATTATTAAAAAATGCTATATGATGTTATACTGCAAAAGTAAATAATTTCGAAACTTAAAAAAAAGGTAGTTACTGTATAAACATATACAAATTATTGAGAAAAAAAAAAGACAAACAGGTTGATTTACTATATAAACATATTAAATA